AAGAGCGGTAGTGAAGAATCCCAACATCTACCTCTGACATTTTAAAATGAAGTTCACCAAGCCACACACAAATTCTGTATCTCAGTCACCACAAGAGTGGAAAAACAGACGCTCTTTTACCTAAGAACAGTCTCTCTCCCCTGCGTAACCATTTCACCTGTTCAAGCTTGATTACATTCCAGCCTCTGGCATGGCTAATCCTGGTAATAGTTTTCTGCAGTTAGCAGCTGCTTCATGGATGGGGCTCTATTGTTCATCTGCACTGCGAATCGCTCTGCTAATGTGCGCTGGCATAACACTTCATCCAGCTCTGAGCAGGGATTGTACTCACCAACACCTGATGCTGCTGCTGCTTGCTTTTCCCACTTCGGAAAGGCAGACAAGCACCTACACAGATCCCGCCGAACCAAACACCCTAGGCTTCCCCTGCTCCCCAACAAGCAACAAAAATAAAGGACCAGCCCACGTTACGTGTCATCTGCTTCTGTTCCAAGCTAGAATCCAAAGGAAGACTTGTTCATTTACAAAAAAGTTGCCTCTGTATTGCCAAACAGCCTTCCACCTATGGAGGAAATGCCTCTTCCAAGGTTTAATGATAAAACAGGCTTCTGCCCTTTCAGGATGAGGTCAATAATCTTCCTTTGTTAATCTTGGGCAAGCTTTACTTAATCTAGCCCCCTTGTCACCTTTGTGATTGACAGGAAAAGTCATGCCACTGGACAATGGACTTATCCTCACTAAGCAATATCTTTTCTAAAGATTACACAATGTTACCCTTGCTCTCATAAAAAGCGCAAACATCTTGCTGTTAAAAGATACTATTCATTCCAACTGTATCTTTCAAATGGTCTCTCCCCGTTTCCAGGGTCCAGCCGAGGCCTGTCTCACTTCTACAGGGGGACAATGCAACACTTAATGAGAAGAAACAGGTTGTACTTGGTGAGATTACCAGAATGCCTCTTAATGCTCTCAACAGATCTCATCTTCTGCTTCCTCATCTTGAGGTGCACGTTATTCCTATCTGCAATTCAACTCGGACAGAAAACTCCGTTTCTGTGACATTGAAATTTTGTCTCAAACCAACCAATATAATTGAAGCAGAAGAAAACTCAGAACGAAGTCTGAAACTGTTAATTACCACCATATGGTACGCCAAGAGGCTGCATCTGCAGCAAAAAAGTTATTGGGAGAATCAACCTTCTGGCTTTGCAGCCAAAAACACCTGGAACAAAATCTTGTGTCTTTAAAAGAAGCACTGATATTGACTGATTCTAAGAAGCTTGAGATCCTAAAAGCAACCTAACAGGTTCTTTATTCAAAGCTGGGATTTTGCCCATACTTCGCTCTTTTAGAATGTGTAAAGAAGACACAAAAGCAAATATTTTGCTCTGCTTTCTGCATTACACATGTAGGCCTACCTATTTTATAGTCTCCATAGTGACCAGGAAGCTGGTAACAGCATGACTTAAGACATCATCAAAAACCAAA